ACACACGACGAGCCTGAACGCGCAGCACACTGCTGCTGCTTCCTGCACGGGGTGTGTGGGGACACGTGGGGACGTGAAGGGTGACAGCCTGAACCCAACCTTCAGCTCAGCCCCTTGCTGGAGGGAGGCACTGTCACTGCGCTCTGTTCACTAGACACGGCCAGGGAGCGGCGGCCGGGGTCTCGCTGGTGCACAGGGACAGGGAACCCCGCCTTGGTGACGGGGCAGCGCCACGGCCCAGGGAGCAGGGTGGCCTGGCCCGCTGCGGAAAGCCCTCAGCACAAGCAGCTGTCTGCAGATCACACCTGCAAGGTCGGCGGGGTTCAGATGAAGAGCAGTCTGCCACAAGCTGTGGGGTGTCCAGAAACCCTCAGACCTGCAGGTGAAGAGGCCGCCCCTTCACCCCGAACAGAGGAAAGTGCTCAGGTCCTCTGCAAACGGAGGACTGCGACCCAGCCTGGGGACGGACACGGGGTCTGCACCCCCTCCGCAGCCCTCCTGTCAGCACAGCGGGTCACACGGAGGACGCTGTCTTGTCTAAGAAGGGCGCTCCCCTCCCCCTCAGGCGCCCACACCCGGGGGCCCAGTACCAGCAAGGCCCTGCAAGCCACTGGTGAAAGTTACAATTCTTGTAGCACATTTAACAATTTTAAAAACAGGTGAAATTAGTTTTTACATTTTATTTAACCCAAAATATCCCATATTTTCATCCTCAATGTAAATATGATTAATGACAGATTTGACTTTTTTGTATGAAGGCTTCGAGGTACACTGGGTCGCACCTCTCCATCCGGGCCAGCCCCGCCCACTCCCCACGCTCAGGCCACAGGTGGCTGGTGACGGTCTCACCCAGACCCCTCCTGACAGGCTGTCCCCAATTCTGAGGTGTGGCTCTGACGACCAGTCCCAGGGAGGGTGGGTGCTCCGGTGCAGAGGTGACATGGGCACATGCTCCCTGCGTCCAGATGTCAGTGGGACACCTGTCCCTACCAGCTGCCCATCTCGCTGTCCCTGAAAAGCCAGCCAGTTGTTGGCTTGAGTCCTGACTAATCACCGTGACAGCAGCAGGGAGCCAGCTAGACACCCCACCCGCCCTGAGCCCACAAAAGGCCCAGGGCCGAGAGGGCCCGCAGGCCACCCGAGCAGCTCTGTGGTCCACAAGCGCACAGCTCCGTTACCCCCTGTCCAGAGCACAGGGTTCTGGGTAGCAGGGTTAGCCCTTTCGATGTCAACCCTGGAGAACAGTCACTTTAGAATGGACCCTGTGACAATACGACCCCGGGACCCACACCCAGGAACCAGGCCCTCAGGCACTAACCCGGAAGCAGCCTGGGAGGCTGGCCATGGGCGAGAAGAGGCCAAGAAAATCCCGTGGCGGTGGGTCAAGGACCCCTACAAGAGCGGAGAGAAGTGGACAAACAGCCTCGGGCAGACGGAGCGCCCCGGGCGCTGGGCAGCGGCTCTGGAGCCAGGTGTTTCCTGGCCTGTGCCAGTGAGCGGCTGTGGTTCGGGCGTTCTGGGGGGAAGGGTCTGAAACGAGGCCTCGGCAAGGCCTTGGCAGGTGAGCACTGCGTGAAGACGGGGAGCCAGGCCTCAGTCCGGGTCAGCAGGGAAGCCGCCTGGCCTCGCTCCGAGTGTGGGGACTCATCCTGACACCTGCCCATCCTTGGAGATGGCGCCGCTATAATGGATAGTGCAGGTGTCAGGGAAAACACCACCACGCCAAGGACCAGGTCAAGGTCACCCTAGTTCTCTAAGCTGTGCTTTGGAGGTTATCAGGCGGGTGAGGAACGGGGAGATGGAGAACCCTCAGGCCTCCACCTAAGAACCCAGACTTCTACAGGGAGCCCGCTGCACACATTCAGGTGGGAACAGTGTGGGCCCACTTTTTGGCGGGAGGGGTCTGCTGCCCACCTGCCTCCCTGGTAACCAGTCATCGGAAGGAGGGGCAGGAAGGCTGGCCACGGAGGACGCCTGACGAGATGGCTTTGCTGTCTAGTGTGGTCACTGCTGTCTAGTGTGGTCTGTCCACCAGACACTGGACAGCTGGCAACGACGAACATTGATCAAGCAGAGATTTCTCCAGCCGAGAACCTGCGTCATGTCCTGCCAGCCCCTGGGAGGAGGCCACAGCAGGAATGGGGACCCATCTTGGCTCGAATATTTAGTAATATTTAGGGCAGGTATCACGTTACCATTTCAGTCCTGCAGAGATTTCATTGGAAAATTAAGTGATATCAAAGAAATAATAAGCCCTGGCTCAGTGGTTAGAGCATCGGCCCGTGGACCAGAGTCCCAGGTTCGGTTCCCGCGAAGGGCACGTACCTTGGCTGCAGTTCGTCCCCGGCCCTGGTTGGGGTTGTGTGGGTGGCAACCCCTCGATGTGTCTCTCTCACATCGATGTTTCTCTCTCCCTCTTCCCCCCTCTCTCCCTCTGGCTCTGTCGGAAGATAAATGCAAAAATGTCCTCGGGTGAGGATAAAAAAAAAAGAAATAATAGAAAGATAAAAAATAAAAAAGCCAGATGAGAAGATACCAGCTCAGTTTGGGTTTGAGTATAATTTATACTAAGCCAGTAAAATTAAGCCTTTTTTCACAGAAACAAGATACATTATTTTATAAGAAAAACAACATTTTGGTTAAAAAACAATTTACAACAAAAGAACACCTCCGGGTGGGCACTCCTGAGCTCACAGAGGCTGGCAGCAGGAAGGACCATGGGCCACCACGGCCGAGAGGAGGCTTTGTCCTCAATCCTGGGTCCCACTGGCCTCCCCGGCCAGCCCGGGCCACCTCCGTCTCACGTGTAAATGTCTGAGACCTCAGCCTCGAGGGGACAGTTGTGGGGTGAGGTCAGCAAGTGTGGGCTGCCTGTGAACTCAGCGAGTCTGCCCCAGGCTTTGCTCACAGTCGCCCTCCCCACCCAGGCAGGCCTCACTATGGACAGACAGACGGACTGCAGCCTCTCTGGAGACCACGTAGGAGGAGGAGCGGGAGGGCGGAGCTCCGCAGGAATCACCTGGCTCCCAGCACCTCCCACAGAGCAGTCAACCTGGAGACCGCGCTAGGCTCGGAGCCAGGAGACCCCCAGCGCGATCGCTCCTCTTTGGAAGACTGAGGGGCAAAGATCTGTAAGGTGATGTCTCTCAGAGATGGTACAGAAACGGTGAGAAGTGTCCCCAGGCTGGCCCTCCAGGAGCGCTCCTGGCTGTGGGTACATTTCCTAACCCAGCTCTAACAAGAATCCGACCCACACCACGCGGACGGCTGCAGACTGGAAGCAAGAACACTGGGCAGGGTCACGCTGTTTCATTCCAGGGCCTGGGAGGCTGTGCCTGGAGGAAACGTGCCAGGCTTGGCGAGGCTGCGGGGCTCAGAGGAGAGGGTGCCCCTCCATGAGTGGCCGCCTGGGGCCACTCCTGAGCATGTTCGGAGTGGGCCTGGGACCTGGCTCCTGCTGGGAGCTGACCGTGCCCCTTGCCAGGTCACGCCGAGGGCAACACACTTCCCCAGAGGCCCCCGACCTGCTCTCTAGTCACCCAGAAAAATCGATCACGCTCGTTCCAGACCCAGGGAGACGTCTTCGCACAGCCTGGGCCTGGGCACCTGCTCAGCGGTCAGGAGGGCCAACCTGCCCTGCGCCTCTCAGGGACTCCCAGCCCCAACCCCGACGGCCTCCACCCAGTCACCGAGGCTGCTTTCGAGGCCGACTCGGGTGGGGGTGGCGAGGCCTCTGCGTGTCGGCCTCTTTCAAGGGACCCGCTGGCCCAGAACCAACGTTCCTTTCGACAGGCAGCCACACGTGGAAGAATGGACTTATATCTGCATAATTACACGCACAGTACAAACTTTTTAAAAGACCCGGAGTGTGTGTGTGCGCTGTCCTTCCGAACGAGCTGCCCACCCAGCGCGCAGGGCCCACAGCCGACCCGGTGCCCAGGAAGGGCAGGTGCTCCTGGCGGGGGTCTGAGCAGGTCGGGCGGAGGGCGGGCGCAATGGGGCTGTTTCGGTAGCTTGGAGCTGAAGGCAGGAACCACGCTTCCGACAGGAGGATCCTGGAGTCGCGGAGAGGAGGTGGCCCACCTGGAGGACAGGCAGCTGGCTGGGAGCTTCCCGCAGGACACGACAAACCACTCCCTCCTCCCTCCCTCCAGGACGGCTCACTGTCCTGCCACGAAGCTCCGGGGGCGGGCGGGAGCCTCAGGCCGACAACCTCCTCAGCAGCTCCAAAGCCTTCAGCAAAGAGCTCTCCCAGGAAAAGCGCTCCTGCAGCAGCCGGCCAGGGCCCCAGGGCCCCGCCACTGGCTGGGGGCGGGCAGAGTGTGGGGCGCCCCGGTCAGCCTGTCTCGTGAAGCAGGCCCGCTCCACGCTGCCTGAAGTCAGCCATCGTCCTTCCCGCACGGGACTCGCACAGAGCAGGGTCACAGGGAACGCCCCCGCCTCCCTGCGCAGAACAAACATTCCACTTACTGCTTCTAATCACGAGCAGCGGCATCCGGAACAGGAGGCGGCGATTCCCGTGTCCGCTTGTCCCGTGAACACGAACAGGCCTTGAGGTTTACAGCGTGGGAAGTGCTTCCTTTCGGCTCAGATGTTACAAAGCTCAGATGTCGAAGTGACTACTGAAAATTACCCATGTGTCATTCATTCACACATTTATTCAGTGTCAGTACAGAGGGCCGCCCCACAGCCCTTCAGAACGTCAGGGACCAGTAAGTCTCTCCTGGGACAGTGAGACCGGACAGCGACAAACCAAGGCAGGAAACAGAAACATGGTTACCTTAAGGTTACAAAGTAACAATACTGATCTTAAAGCTCCATTCATTATTGTAACCGGGAAGAACTTAATTTACCAACATTTCATGTTAGGAAGGCTCTTTGTGAAATTTATTCAAGTTGTTAAGAAATTAGATGAAAACATAAAAAAGGAAACATATAAATTTTACTTTTGATTTTCACTAAAAGTAAATGTTCATACAATTGTATACAGTGTCACCTAACATAACAATCTTTCATAAACGTAGGTATACAAAAATGAAAAATGCAAAAATTTTTCTTTTACACTTTTAAATTGAGAGACAGTGATTTAACGGTGACCCAAACTTTATGTAACAGATGCAGCAACGGATCAAGTCGATACCAGTGGGCCGTTTCCCTGCACGAGGGGCATGTTCACGTGTGTGACCTGGGCTCTGGGTTCGAGGGGAACAGCTGAATACGAGTGCTTGTCTCCTCGGCCCAGGACTTCAGTTCCCCAGACTGCGGAGCCTGTGGCGACAGGTGTGCCGCTGGTCCCGAGGTTACCCCACAGGCCCCAGGCTACTCACAGGCACTAGAAGCTCCCGGCTGAGGAAGAAAATCCCCACGGGGGACAGGCCAGGCACAAGGAGACAATCACAACCAGAGGACAACTGCTTCCCGGGGCTCACCTACACGCCGAGCTCCCCAGCCAAGCCCTCACGCATCTTTCCTGCAAAACCCGAAGCCAAACTCTACTCCCGGCCCTTCCTCGGTCAGTCAGCTATGCAAACGGGCATCCGGGTTCCCAGCCCTCCCGACCCTGTGGCTTCTCCCTCACCCTCTGAGCTTCCTCAACAAAGATCACATCTCCGTCCCGGGAAGAGGGGAGAACCTTGTCCACAGGCACGGCCACCGACTCCAGTGCACAGGGAACACTGACAATTCTTACAAGTTCAAGGTGTGCCCTGGAAGAGGATGAGGGAGAAGTGGCCACAGCAGGTGCTCCTCCGGCGCCTGACCGCCCTGGGTGACCATCTCTGCCGCGGCTTGTTTGTTTGCCGCTCTCGGCCACTCTCCCAGCCCGAGGCGTTCACCCTTCGCCCGAGCCAATGGCTCACAGGAGAACACTCCGAGAATGCCAGAAGGTTCACTCAGCACAAAGACGGCATTAAGATTCTTACTCACTATTTGTCTGAGTAAATCTAGAACCTGAAGTGACTGGTTATTTTAAAAGCGGCTGCCTTTTAAGATACACACTTGCTTTTAGAAGGCGAGGCTTTCCACAGGCTGCTCTCCGCCCAGCCCTGTGCCCTGCAATGGGGTTCGAGCTGCCTCGAGGCCTGGCCCTGGCCACGGCTCCTCCCTCTGCCCCCGCTCTTCACTGCTTCCCTGCAGACCCAGCTGTGCTGACCGGGCAGCAACGGCCTCCCCTCGCCCATGGCTCTTACTGTAACGGGAGGTGAGAAAAGACATTTCTGCTCAAGATAATGTTCAAGCTGAAAACTCTGAAAAATCTCAATAAGGAAGCTCAAAGCTGAGAGAAAAAACTCTGAAAACACTCCCCAGACGTCTTAGTGCCTTGTCCCCCCAGGTCAGGATGAGCCGGCCCTCCTGCCCCTGCTGTGCCCCCAGGCCGGGGAGCCAGCACTGGGCAGGTCCAGGCAGGGAGGAGCTGCCCGCCCGGTGCAGCGCTTGTCCTCCAGCTGCGGCAGCTAGTCCTGGTCTCGGAGAGCACCTCGCACTCCGTCCTCCTGACTGCAGGAGCAGCACTCTGCTGGCTGTCGAAGAAAGGGGCAGGCGTCAGAGGGGCGGAGGGTGGGGCGAGCCTGGGCCTCCCCAGCACCTGACACCCAGCAGAGGCCCCAGGCACAGGCCCACACAGACAGACAGACAGGACACGCATACCAGCAGAAACTAGAAGAACAAGACTGTGACCAAGCCCCACATCCCAAACTGACAGGCCCGGGAGGGGGCGAGGGGTGGAGGAGGGTACCGTGGGCTCCTGTGGGCACATTTCAGAGCTCGATTTTAAGGGAATAGTAACATCCTCCTCTTGCCCCCTCCCCCCCCACTGTCTCTTAGGTAAGTCACCAGTCAGTGCACCAGGGCAGCCCCTCCTTCCCTGAAGCCCGTGCCACTGAGGATGCTGAAGGGCAGGGAGAACCGGAGAGCGCCCAGGGCCAATGAGGGTCATGCAGAAAGCAGGGCGAGAGAACCCTCCCATAAGGGTCACTGACGGGGCAGCCGCTCTGCACTTGGGCCAAAGACAAAGTCCTGACTGTTGAAACTGCGAACTCAATGCCTAAGAAGCCTTTGCAACTGAGCTTCTAAATCTAGGTAGGTACGTAAAATTGCACATGGAGGGCTGGTTCCTAATCTCTCCAGCTGACAGCTGCCAAAGTTGAACCAGGCCACAGGCCGCTGTCCTGCTACCTTACAGCATTAACATTTAGGGACAAAGGGCCAGTCTAAAGGTGGGAGACAGGACATTAACATTCCCGTGGGCAGTGCATCACCTGGCGAGGGCACCAGGAAGGCCCCATCCTCACAGGGGACAGACACACTGCATCAGGCAGCAGGAGGGCGCGGTGGGGCACGGGCCTGGGGGCAGGCGGGCCTTCCCGGGAGGCCGCACAGAGTGCAGAGCTGCCGCCCACCAGGGCCTTCTGAGGCAGAGAACTGAACGCCTAGGTCTTCTCTGGCTGAATCACATTCACTACTCAAACCGGCGTACATGATCAGTATCGCTACATTTAATTACAAAAGTGTGCAAAACAAAACAAACCTAAATGACCAAAATAAGTTAACAAACAAGATAATCATCATCTTGACACAGAACACAGAGCTCAAAGAACCATTCCACCCACTGCAACTCCTCCGAAGCTGATTAGGATCGTGAGGACGCAGGACAAATACCGCCATCTCCCGTGGGAGCAGCAGGTCTCGTGCAGAGGGCGCCGAGCCCAGGGGGAGGTGCTGCGATGGAAGCCCGAGGGCCAGGCCAGCACCAGCGTCCCCAGAACGTCCCGAAGGACTGCCGTCTGACAGCAAGAAAAGGGGGGCGCCCTGCACGTGGGCTTCCCCTCTGGTGTGAGAACCAAACCTGGACTGAGGGGTCTGTCAGTCTGCACAGAACAAGGCTGAGAAAGCTGCCTGGGCCTACAGTCATGTGCCTTTCTGACCAAAAACCCTCAAGAAACAAAAGCAAAACAAAACCCACCCCCCAAAACAAAAGAAAATAAAACCTCCTTTTCCTTGTTGGAGAAAAACACAAGCAAAGAGCACTGGACAGAAAAGGTCTTGGCTCTCGTGACAAGAGGCACTTCTGACACCAGCTGCGGGCGACCTCCGCCCGCGGTTCCCGGGACCCGTCGGGCTTGAGGAACGTGGGGTTTGATTTAGTGCACAGAATCTCAATCAAAGTGGTACAAACTGCTTCTTTGAAAAAAGATGTTTATTAAACAATTTTAATTGTCATAAAATGACTAAAATGGGTTTTAAAAATTAAGGCTCTTCTCTTTCTGTGGATTGCCAGAACAATGTAAAAATAATATCAATCAACCCTGCTGAATGCTTTGTTCCTCAAGTTAGATTTCAAAGATTCCTAAACATTTTATGATTAAGATAAAAAACTGGACTGTAAATGACGATCAATGGCCGTCCATACTGAACACACACTCTGATCAGGTGTACAATATTCTAATTGAGTAGTTAAGCAAAAATACTCCAGTTAAAGCAGAATTTTAATTTTAGCTTTTTAAGTCATTGTTTCCCCACACTGTCATGATTTTCCTAAAATCGAAATGGTCTAAGACAGGAACGCTAGCCTTGGGGCTCTACATACTCCCAGGAGGGTGACTGACTCGGCTGGCAATTAGTTTGATTATACTTTTTAAACGTCCTAAGGTGAATTATCAAATGATTCAGAATTACATGGCATGCAGTATCCAAAAGTATGGCTCTGATGCATTTAGATTTACATTAAGAATAAGTGTCATTCATTCATTGTACACCCACCCCTCCCACGAGAAAAGATCACTACCTACTCAAGTTCTCAGTCTGGTGCAGCGTTAAGGATTCAAACTTACCACTTTCCCAGGCCTTCCCCATGTGCAAACAAATCCCTCCTGACAAGCAGTGACTACACAGTCTTCAAGAAAAATCAACACAGTCAGTCTTTCGTGTGCTATCTTTTTGCAGATGAGAGGCTCTAATAAGGGAACGTCTTCCATCCGAGGACACAGGGGTGTCCCCAGGGTTTTGGCTGGGTCTGTTTTGGTTTTGGTGACGAGGTTCAGTTTGTCGCTGCTCTTGCTAGAGATGTGTCCCATGCTATGGTTTCGCTTGTGATCTTTCTCGTGGTGCCGGTCCTTCCGGTCGTGTAGGGAGAGTGTGGCGAATTTGCTGACCCCAGACGCAATGGCCCCGTCGGCAACACTGCTTTTGCTGCCGGCGTTGGAGACGGTGGAATGTGGGAGGCTGTTGGACCGTGGCAGAGGGGGGGGTGCAGAGCTGCCGGGCGTCGTGACGCTGTTCCCAGTGCTCCCGGATGGAGGGCTCGTGGCGTTCATGACATTTGTGTGTGTCCGTGCCCTCGAGAGGGGTTGGTGAGGGAAGAGGATGTCTTCCGTGAGGTCCCACAAGCAGAGCTGCGTGTCCTGGCCTACAGAGCCGAACCGATACGTAACACTGACAGGGCGGCTCTCCGTGGAGTTCCGTTTGGACAGCCTGGACTGGGTACTGTTTGCTCGGTCTCTGCCAAAATGGAGCAGGTCCTGGAAGTCCTCGTCACTGCCACTGAACTCCATAGGGTCACTTTCTTCCACACTTGTGGTGTAGGGATCAAATGCCACCACGCTGACCCAGGACTTGTGTCCATGGCCTCGCGCTATCACTCGGCCATCTACAAAAGACCAGACGGTCACCAGGTCATCCTCTCCCCCCGTCACGATGTACTTGCCGTCTGGGCTCCAGCACACGCACAGCAAGCCTCCAAAGTAGCTTTTCATGGTGCCGTGCAGCTCCACAGAGTCAAAGTTGAACACCCGCAGAAACCCGTCCTGGCTCACGCACGCCAAGAACTTGCCATCTGGGGAGAAAGCAAACTCGTTGAGGGCCCCCTCGCCCACCGTCCACTTGAGGAGAGGGTTCCTCGTGGATTTGCTCTTGCAAGTGTGCACGGCGAAGCTCTCGCCCTGCTTCAGAAGCTGGTAGTGGGGGGCTGTGGTGCCACAAGTGTGCTCCACATTATACAGGTACATGTTCCCACTCGAATGGGCTACTAGGAAAAGGCTTTCCGAACCGGGAACCCATCTGACACAGGTTACTCGTGACTTGTCTATTAGTCTCTGTGAAGACAAAGGAGAACACGTTATCACAATGGGAAGCTTAGCGGTCTGGTTCCAGTAAGAAGCCGGCAGCTGCCCGGTGACGAGAGACGGGCCGTCCGCACCACTGTCCCATGGCCGGCCAGGCCAGCGAAGAGCGTTCTGGCCGCTTGCATGACTTTCTAGAACTGCACTTGGTGTGACGCCACTGGCCTTCACTGAGGCGCCGGGACACTGGAGGGGCAGCCCTGAGAATGTGTCCCTTCTTCCGCGAGGAGGGTCTGGATCTACACAGCCTCCTCTGTGAGCCCCCCAGAGAACCTCGAGGTGCTGGTCTTGCGTTCTGTCATCACTGCCAGCCATGTGCAGACTGCACCTGCGCCTGCTTGGGCTGCACCCAGTGGGGAGACCCCTGCCTGCAGCGCCCAGGCTGCGACACACACCCCAGGCCCCACTGGGCCCCGAGCAGACTGCCTCCTCAGACCTGCTGTCCTGTGCGCCCTTCCGGGCAACCCTGCCTCCTTCCTCGGGAACAAGGTGGTGTCTAAAGCACCAGACAGTGACTAACTCGGGAATGTGGCCCGATCACCACCACTCCACCAACTGCTGTAACAGCACAGACTGACAGAGTCTCGCCTCTAGAACCAAAGAACAAAAAGCCAAAAGCAGAATCACCCGAAAGCACGGCAGCTTCCACAGGTGCCCTGCCCCAAATCACATCAGCAGAAACCACCCAGAACCCCCACGCTCCCCTCGGACACTCCCACTGCCAACACCCTCTGCTGCGCCACCCAGCAACCAGCGCCTTCCCCTCACTGGCGGGGCCGGACCGCGCCGAGAGCGGGTTTGCCCTGCCTGCTGTGTGCTGCACTTTTACAGAAAATGAAAAACCCACGTTTTTTCAAAGCGATAAGTGAACCATGCGAGCTGTTATGTAAAGTTAGACCCCAAGGTAAGTGTCCAAGCAGTCCCCAGCTGGGGAGAAGTGGGGCCGACACTTCCCAGCACGCAGGCCCCGGACTTGGGAACGAGTTAGGCAAACGGTACTCAGCAGCAGGGGTCACTGTTTGTCACTCTGCAGTGTCACAGCCACAGGATGGCAGGCTGGCCCCGTCAATGAAAGAGACGAGGCAGCGGCCTTGGGAGGGAGCCCACGTTCTCACCCCCTGCCTTTTCCCTGCTGCCTGTGACCGACTCTACCAGGCACTGACTGTGTGGACGCTGACAGCCTCAGAGCCCAGAGCTGCTCGGGCAGGGTTCCCACGAGGCTGCCACCATTTCTTCCACACTCTGTTGTCCTCACCAGGCCCAGGCTGCCCCACTAATACTGATCCCACAAAGTGACTGGCCTGCTAGCCCACTGTCTGAGGGTCGCCATGCTCACACCCCATGGTGGCCGGGTCAGGCTGCCCAGCACCTCCCATGTCACCACATCTAGGTCACACCTGTTTTCCCGAGAACACACCCCCGTCACTCCACCACACATGCACCATTTTAAGGACAGACACAGACAATTCTAGCACTATGGTTATGAGAAAATTTTACTTTTGGCTTAAAGAAACACAACACAATTCCATTAGAATTTGAAACTGTAATACTGTCAAGAACAGCAGCACTCTGCAGTACTGAGGCGCGAGGAATAATCGCAGCACCGTCACTAAAGCCTGTACTACCGGGAAGACAAAGCACAGAGAACGGCTGTCCACGTCACGAAGGTGCACGGCGACCACTGGAAGTGGACACGTGGCTGCACCTCACAGACAAAACCAGGGCCCACACTCGTGTCCTGCAGGCACCTGTGAGCACACCCCTGCATTTGTGCACTGGGTGCACCCCTTTAAGCAATTGCCAAACCCAAATATAAAAGGAACGTGTGTCCAGCTCTACATGTAAAGGGTGTCCCCTGCTCGGTTGTGTGCTCAAACACAGGGACACGTATGTGTCACCTGGAGGTACCTGGGTCTCACGCAGATTAGAGCGCATGGCAGCCATAGTTGGACAGCAGCACTGATGTCAACCAGAGGACCTACTGTGCGTGCTCTGCATATGCTCTTTTTTTTCTTTTTTTTTTTTAATCCTCACCCGAGGATATTTTTCCACTTTTTTGCACAGATAGAGTGGGAGGGAGAGAGAGGAAGGGAGAGAGAGATAGAGAAACATCGACGTGAAGGGGCACATCGAGTGGCTGCCACCCACACAACCAACCAGGGCCGGGGACAAACTGCAACCGAAGTACGTGCCCTTAGCGGGAACCGAACCCGGGTCTCTCCGGACCGCAGGCGGACGCTCCAACTGCTGAGCCAAACCGGCCAGGGCTGCATGTGCTCTTTAATCCTTACAATAACCTTGGCAAGGCCAGCTTTCATTTTCTGAATGGACAACACACTCCTAGTCACAGGCAGTGTCCGTACAAAGCCTCACTCCCGCCAGCCCGGCCTGCTAGCAGTTCTGAGCTGCTCTGCTGTCCAGGATCTGTGCGTGGACAAGGGCAGGAATGCACTGCCCTCATTCCCCCCGCCCAGAGCACACCGTGCACGGCCTGCACCTGCTCTCTCACCCAGGGGCTTGCGCCCCTCTGTCTGCACTGGCACGGAGACAGCTCCTTCGTTCCCGTCTCCCGCTGCAGAGTGTGCAACTACACAAATAAACTGTAGTTTCAGAGTCCCCAACAGACAGACACGGATGTGCAATAAATAGCCTTGTACACATGCAGTTCTCACATGTATGAATACACCTGCAGGGTGAAGTTCCAGTGAATAGCTGGGTCACAAGGTATATGCACTTATAATTTTTATAGACGTTGCCAAGTCACTTCCCATGGAGGACACAATTCCATTCCCATCAACAGTGTCAGTAGGAGTGTCCATTTCCCCATGGGAAGGTAGGCATCACTGCCGTGTTACCTACCAGGAAACAGGCTCAGAGAGGTCAGAAAACGTGCCTAAAGTCCTCCTGTTCACTCACCCACTTACACATAGTTGGCCTCTCATATCCAAGGGGTCTACCAACAACAGATCGAAAATAACTGAAAAAAGGTTACGGTGGCCCGCAGTGGGGGCTGCTGCGTCCACACTGAACACGACAGGCTTCTTGCCACCATTCCCTGAACAGTCCATATAACAACTACTTACACAGCACTTACACTGTTAGCTGTTACGAGTGACCTAGAGACGATGTAGTCTACGGGAGGATGTGCGCGGGTCACTCACCAGTACGACACCACTTAGGGGGTGCTGGAGCGCCCGCGGAGTTTGGTACCGGGGGTCCTGGACCCAGGGCCGAGGGCCGAGCACATGCCAGGCACGGACACAGCAGTGATTAGACAGACGTGCCTTCCTGCAGGGACCTACCTTCAAGTGGGATGAGAAGGCAGATCTGCCGGAAGTGAGTGCTGCAGAGAACAAGCCTCGGGGTGGGCAGGGAGGGGACTGCGGTGATTTCCATCTCAAACGGAAGGGCCCGGAAAGGCCTCTCTGTGGCGGTAAGGGCAGCCAGCCTGGAGGGAAAGGATGGCAGGGGGCAGGCTGAGAGGACATGGGGAAAAGCGTCCCCACGCAGGAAACAGCACCTACAAGGACGGTGAGGCGGGAACAAGCAGGCACTGGACATCCCAGAGAGACCAAGGGACCAGTGGCGGGCGGGGAGACTGGCCAGAGGAATATGCATCTGTTTTGGCTGGAGCACCTGGGCAGGGGCATCGTGAACTGGGACTCGGGGCCATCAAGCCCCAGGCCAAGGGGCTCAGGCTGTGACCCTGAGGTCCCAGAACTTAAATGTGACATAAGTGAACTGTACTGTGAGTGTCAATACAGTGGGTTCTGAAGACCAGAAATTATGAAACCAGAGAATTCCTATGTTTACACTCATTATACTGCATGTTGAAACAACATTTTGGATATACTGGTTTAAACAAACTCTTACTCTCATCTACTTCTTACTGATTTACTGTGCTGTGGCCACTAGGAAAGTCAGACTTGCCTTGACAGCTGACACCCTATTCACAGACAGTGCTGCTGCAGACGTGGGGCCGAGGTTCCTGGGAAGGGAGAAGTCAGATAACGTAGGTCCCCACAGTCGCACAGAATAGATGGGTGGGTGGGAAGGAACCAGTTAGGAGGCCATGGCAATTATCCCCAGACATGAAACCTGAGCAGTGCTGGGTGGCAGCCTGGGCTGTGCACACGGATCAGGTTGGGTGGAGCAGGCGGTGGGAGGTGAGGGGGTGCGTGAGGAGTCCTTGGTTCTGATCTGAGTGACTGGGAAGGCAGTGAGAGAAAAGAATGGGGAGCAGGGGGTGACTAGCCAGAAGAAATCCAAGTGTTCTCGCCTAGTAGGCAGCTAAGGAAAACGAGTGGAAGACAAGGAACAGTGGGAGCCAGATCTGTGATATCCTAAGAGCTCCAAGGAAGAAGGTGTAACAAGAAAGAAAAGGAGTATGAAACTCTGTAAAACTCTACTTACAAGGGCAGGACAAAAATCAGGGAAGCAGAGGGAAAGCAGAGAAAGCAGAGAAGCGACCCACAAGTCCATGAGGAGGGGGTGGGGCCGAGGGGCCAGGACCTCTGCTCTGGGCATCAAAATCTCCCTAGATCAGGTGACAGGTTAGGGGACAGGATCTGAGGCTCGGAGAGGAAGTGCTCGGGCAGGCAGGGCAGGGCAGCAGGCCTGGAGAGCAGGAAGAGAGCCAGGGAGGGATCAGAGGAGAGAAGCAGAGGGGAGGGAGGGAACAGAGCACGGAGGAGGGACAAGGTGCAGGGAGGGGCTGGGGGAGCAGCAGGGGAGACTGAGCAGTTAAGAAGGTCTCTGTGAGGTCACAGGCATAGCCACTGGGCTTTCCAGCAAAGAGAGTCAAATTGCAAAATGTTGCCAGGCCTGTTTTTGTAACCACTTTCATAAAAACAAAAAATGAAACTGGGATATTTCTGTATTGAGACCTACCCTTTCATGGGATCCCACACCCATGCCTCTCCCGGGTCTTACCCGGGGCCCCCACGCTCCCTATCTGAATGCCTAAGAAATGC